TTCGTCTTCAGCCGTGGAATGTAAAGTTGTCGAGCCATTTTTTCGATGAATAGAACCATTTAAACCATTGCAAGAACTAGATGGACTATAAGGTGATGCACCTGTGCTGTGCCTTCTACTTTTTCGTCGTTCGCAATGTTCGTTGGGATTATTTGGTCGGTCTCGAAGCGTTTTGCGTATCGTATCATCGAGTTGCCTAAAAAAATGTAATACACAATTAATAAATATAGAACCTGACAAGACCTATTCATAAACTGACACATAGAGAAGTCGAAGCTTTACTTTCGATACAGAAAATACTATTTTTAATGAACAAGGTATAGAAATATTTACCTCAAACCTTCGTCATCTCCGTCTTCAAATCGTAATACAGCTTCGTAAACTTGGAGCTGTCTCAGTAAATCCAAGTCTGTGCCTGGTCTGGACATATACCTATGAAAATAGTGTAAAAATAGTTATCAATTTAAAAAAAATGAGGTAAATAGTTATCAATTTAAAAATTCATGTTTATGACTAATCAGGAAATACAATTTTGAGGAAACAGAAGTTATGGGATCTATTCTGCCGCATAACAGAAAAATGTTATGGCAAGGCAATGTTACGCTCCAAATTCCATACATTATGCTACTGAATCTTACTGAATACTGTAAAAATATTATGTTTTTGCTGTGCATTCAGTCGTTTTCCACAAAACTGCAACGTCACTCGTATATTATGAAGTTGGGTCAGAAAGACCCTGTTATCTAACATCGTTTTTTGATATGAGTGAGGGTCCATTTTCTATCTGACAACCTGAGAAATACGCCTGACTGCACACAAACCACATGGTATTTTCAATATTTCGTATGAAAAATTCTTCATAACATGGCCTTGCCATAACATTTTTATTGATGGTTGTATGAATTGGAGTACATTTTGATCTGCAGGTTCCAAATTTATGGTCAAATTTGAAATATGCCACTGTTTCATTCTACTTTCTTTCTTTTTTTATTCAAAAAAATATTTTTTTCAAAATTCTCAAAACTTTCAAATTCAATGTTTAAAAAAAAATCTTTTTAAAAAATTTTAATTTTTGGTACGGAAAGTTTCAGCAATTTGCATCAAGAACCGATGCCATGCATAACTAGTTCTAAATAAAATTAATTAACTACTATAAATAAAATAATTCTCCTCACCTTTGGACAATGCCCTCCATGCCTTGTCGTTCTAGGAAATCGGTTTCGTCATAATAGCTATCTTGATCAGACAATCCACTGAGAGTTTTATTCAAAAGACTCGTTGCATATATCAATAGTTCTGTATCAGCATTGTCGAAGTCACGTAGTAAACTATAATAATACACAGATCGTTATTGTATTTAGTTTTGATCCAATGATAGAGACATGGAATGAAAATTCTTATTCAAATAGAAGAAAATACTTTAGAATTCACTCCATGGAGTCTGATCTTACATATGAAGCTGACCAATATTAAATTTATTAAGTCCAATAGATTATTTCGAATAATTTTGCTTTTCTTGGGCAGTTATTATTCCACAGAATTGACCAGAACAATTTCCTCAATCATTATAATGACTTTATTTCTACTTACTTCATAATGTGACTCCATGGCAACGAATGGTTCTTCCCGTCGACCATCCTGACGGCTTGCACCAGCAATCTACAGTTGCATTCGCTGTATTCAACAAATACTAAAAGCAATTTTAATGCAGTTTTAACTACAAGACGATATTGACTTGCTATTAGAGTATAAAGCCATTGGATTGTTGGATTATGGGCCATAACACCGTTCATGCCATCTACATATAACATCACCTGGGGAAAAGATGATAGAAATTATTATTTTTCTATGGTGCAATAATTATTGTTTATTGGTTAGTGATTTACAATGTTCTGCTCAAAAAATTCGATGAACAATGTAGAAATTGACTAACAAGGAGTCTGTTCGAACGTATTTTCGTTTATTATATTGGTCATGAAGGTGACAATCTTCAGGGCATTAAGCTTCACACGGAATGATTGCTACCTAGGGGTGGCGGAGTGTTTTAATTAAATTAGTAGTTCACTTCTGAAAGTAAAGTCCGCGAAACAACCAGAGTATCGAAGGAGAGTTTTAATACATTTTATAACTACGTAACAAAATACAGAGTCATTAGTCGTTAAGACAAATTATAGTCTTAAAGTTCAATAGAGTTGGCGCAGACATATATAAATGATTTTGTTTAGTTTGTTACCTGTCCCAGAGCCCGCAATATATAATTTTGGTAATTCTGATCCGCCCCTGCTCCAACTCGCAATAAACATGCGAGTCCTCCCAATTGTACAAATCCATGGACCAAGTCTTTATCAGCCTGGAAGGTCTGTTTTAAGGAAAACAAGGCTCTTCTTAATTCACGACCTTCGCAACTTTGTAACTTATCTGCAAAAAGAATAATAGTAACCAAATTGAGTCGTTTATTTACTATTTTAGGAATTTATTCTTGCAAAAACTACCATCGCAACATTCTACGATCACGCATTATGATTTGACATAAAAAATCTACCACAATGTGTGGCATTATCCATTTTCTCCTCAGTCAATTCAGGGACAAAATTGATGTTAAAAATATTGTGTGAGACAAAATTACGGTTGTTTACGAACATTAAATTATTACAGTGCTTTTGTGTGGTGCTTAATGGCTACACTTATTTCTGCTTGATTTTATAATAAAAAGTTGTAGTTTGTCCAATGCATTTGGATCATTATTTTGAATGAGTGGAATTATTTTTTTGTTGGTTGTTAGAAAATAGTTTCGAGAATAGTAGTGTGAAAATTATTATTGTATTTAATAATCCTGGCCATGTTAACCAATTCATATTTTCAAGTTTCGAGGACAATTTTAGTGCATTTCTTTACCAAAGGATGTAATCCAAAATCCAACTAATATTCATCTAGCATAATATCGATTTTTCATAATTTGTTCGTCTTTATAGTTGTATGTATACGAGTAAATGCATTTTTTGTTTATACAAACATTTACTAATGTTATGAGAATAAAGTGAACATAATTTCACATTTTTTATTTGTACATCGGAAGTTGAAATTTAACTAACATAAACATGTAATGGGTTTGAATGAGTTTTGAGGTTCATATATTTTTATACAAAAAATTTACTGTAATTATGTGAAAAGGAAGAATACAATTTCGGATTTCAGAACTTCTATTATCAGGTGTAAAAATATTACTTCAATTTTTTTATGGGTTTAAGGTAGAAGCATTTTTTCTCTATACAGCAGTTTACGATAATTATGAAAAAAATTATAGAAAAAATATAATTTCGTTTGCACAATCTTTTGACATACATTTTTTATTAAGTTTAAGAAAAGGGCATTTTTATATATAGTTATTTACTGTAATTTTGAGAAAATAAGGACATAATCTCATACTTTAGGATTTATTCAGTTGTAGGAATATAATTGACATTCATCTTTTTAAGACTTAAAATCGTTTAAAGTAGATTTTTTAATACACATCAGGTTCCAAAGAATATAACATAAATTTATATTTCTTGGATTTTGCTAAATGTAAAATATAATATTTAAAAAGGGTGGTTCTTAATATAGATGTTTTCAAATTTCCTTGCTCTCAGAGGCTCAAATGCTTCCAAATTGATAAAAAAAAATGATAAAAATATAATAATTAAAAAGGGTGGTCCTTAATATGGATGTTTTTCAAATATCCTTGCTCCCAGGGGCTCAAATGCTCCCAAATTGATAAAAAACAATTCTCTGAAAGTTTTAGCTCTAATATTAACTTTAAGATAGTGTGCACTCTAACCAAATATTATGAGCTAAAACTTTCAAAAAATATTTGTTTATCAATTTGGTAGCATTTGAGCACCTGGTACCAAGAAAATATGAAAACACTCATTTAAGGGACCACTCTAATGTGTTATATATATATATATATATATATATATATA